CCCAACACCTCCAACTGCAAAAGGATCTGCAAAAGAAAGAAACAGAACAGAAACAAAAAAATGGCCATTGGGAAGGAATGGCTTCACTCCAAGAAGATTTGATAGGAAGGGAAGAGATAGAAAATTTATGGGTAAGTTAGATCTCCTCTTTTATTTTTGCAGGAGATAGAAAAATTATTTTAGATCTCTCTTTTTTCAATTATTTAGATTTTTGGATCTCTTATCGAAAATCAAAATTGATTGAAAAATGGTTTTGTCAATTGCATGAATCATCATTTTTAGGAAAGAGAAGAAAATCATAATTGATTGATGCATAGTCAGTTTTATGAAGGAAAATTAGAATGGATTGTAAATGAATTTGATTGTGATTTGGGAAAGAGAAGAAAACAGAATAGATTGAAAATGGCTTTCTGTTAATTGGATAGTCATATTAGGAAAGAGAGGAGAACAAAATTGATTGAAATTGTTTTATAATTGCATAATCATTTGTAGGAAGAAAAAAAAAATACAGAGAGAAGAAAACAAAGAGGTACAAGAAAGAAAATGGAAGATGTGAAAAATTATTATTGTTTGTATCGAGAGAATATAATATTATAACAAACCATAGTTGGATTGAATGATTCAAAGCAGCATGAAATAATATTGACATATTTTCAATTTGAGTTTTAGAAAATTTAGAAACAATGAAAACTTGGAACTCGATTTTTACTGAGACCGTTTTAGAGCCATATTTCACTTTGTTAGTTGGATTATTAATTAAAATGTGAAATACTAACAAAAGGTGACGAACGGTGGGATATGAAGTGGTGAACTCCAGCAACCTTTAGAGCAGCTCACGAGGAACGGGAGCTTACGTTAATTAAATTAGGGAGTACTTCGGCTAAGGCCAACCAGGTAAGTGGCCTTACTATAGGATAGGCTAAAAATTGTATGAGTTATGATGATGTATGAGTTATGATGATGTGTGGGTTACGATACTTGATGATGTGCGCAGTATATATATATTTTGATGAATGACGTACTTGATATGTTTGTTGCACTTTGTGACAATATGATGAGTATGATGATTGCGTGATGTTTACCTTAATATGATGATGTTTTCCATATTGAGCATATTATATGATGATGAGTGCCATATTGCATCATGTCGTTAGATCGACATAGGACAACCCTAAGAGCGTGAAAATGATATTAATATAAATATCCACGAGTATATGTTACCTAGAGTAACAAAGAGATGAGACTAGAGGGTTGTGTCAGAAGAGACACTATGATGGATTTAGAGGGACCTCATGCATATTGTATGTTCATAAGCATAGGGCTACTTCCCCTAGAGATGATGAGTGCGGACGCGCACCATATGATGAGCGCGAATGCGCACAGGTGCGAATGCACACATGAGGGTGTTCATGAGGCGCATGACACTATGGGGTTCCACTGACCTCCGGACGTCGCTACAGATTAGCTTGACCAGAGGGTCCAGGGGGTGTGCGAGCGCCCTGGGGATTCACACTCGCACGTGTGAGTCGTGTGTAGGGAAGTACTACACATCCAAGTTTTTCGAGACTGGAGGCCACCACCCCTAAGATGATTAGAGATAGGTCCCTAAATCATGATTGCATGTGTGTGCATTTGCATGGCCCCTATAGTGGGGCCACTTACTAAGTATTCTTTGAAATACTCAGGCCGTGTGCCACTTCATTTTTCAAGTAAAGGCAAGGTGCACTTGTACGGAGGACGGCGACATCGCGAGTAGAGACTGTGGCACGTGCATAGGGTAGACTCATATTTAAATTTCTAGTCTTAAGTTAGAATAGGTTGTTTTGCATTCCATTGTTTTAAATTATTTTGTATTTGTTTTTATTTTCTCTAAATTTCAGTATTTCATATTTAAACACGTAAGACCATGACTGTGTTTTTTTTCAGAGAAGAAGTTGTTTTAAATGTTTTTTTTTTTCTGAAATTTTCGTTATCAATTATGTTCATGTAAGAGTTATATTTCCGCATTATAGGTGAGCATGAGACGTTAGTAGCGACTCTGAGTATGTGGAAATTTAGGGTCGTTACACGTCCGTACCCTCGTGATGGGATAGGGGTATCCCTCCAAATGCATGATCACACAATATGCATGAGGTCCCACTAGTCCTACAGTCATCATTTAATGAACATAACCCCGTGTCACGTTTTCATGCTTACATGTCATTCTCATTCTCATTTCGTTACATATCATACATATTCCTAGCGGGGTTATGTATCATGCAATTTACCGTATTTCATGTCATACAATTCATTCAATTACATTCCAATACTCATACAACAAGCCATAATCGTACAAGGGCACACATCGTCACATGCATTCATATCACATCAACTAAGCAACATAAATAACATACATTCACGTTCACATGATTTCGTACTTAAGCACAATAATCTAGCATACAATGTATCATATCATAACCAAGTCATAACGTAAACACTTCATAGTCATATCGTTCTCTAACTTACCATAGCCTTAACGTTCTTATACCTATCACTAACATATCATTACGTGACGTACCTAAGTCATATCGTCATAAGAACGTACCCTAATGCTATCGTTCTATCAATCTATCACAAACCTATCCCTTTCTACTTATAACCTAACCGTATTCTTTCATCAATCTCTCCTATCCATAGCACTCCGGTATGTAACCTAACTCTAACGTTTCATGAACGTATCTTACTCCTATCGTTACATTTCGTTTTGTGTATCCTTCTCGTACCCTATCTCAAACATATCATTGAGCACATCGTACCATAATTATTATTATACAAACCACATATTATAACATAACATGACATATAGGAAGCATATCGATCCACAGACAATTCACACATATCAATATATATGGCACGTACAGAACCACAGAGCACGTGTCAACATCAAATATAACCATGCCGATAGTAAGGTCACTTACCTGGTTAGCTTAAGTCGTTATCACGAATATAACCTTAATGAATGTTCGATTCCATCGTTATCCTTGATGAAAGTCCATTGAACTCCAAGTGAACCTATGTGAGCTCATGACATCAGTTTCAAGTTTGAACTCTATAAAATTATTTCTCTAATTTATGTTGACCCATGTGTTATACTTCATGCGAACGTTAGAGTCTTGAACGTTAGAGTCTTTGTTTGAGTTAGGTGTTGAAATATTTATATATGTTTGTTATAGTATTATTTTCATACAAACCATTTAATACTCATTAAAATTTTCCAGATATTCTATTTTCTCTAATGGTGTTTAATACCCTTTTAACATTTTCCAGATAATTTTCAATTATATTCACCGTCTTCCCTCTCTGTCTTTTACTGTGTTTTCTTTCTTTTAATTATCTCTCTCTGTTTGATAATGACTTTCAGTATATTAAATAAAATAAAAGGAAAACTATTGACCTCTTCAAATGCATTATCATATCTCTTCCTACCAAAACAAAACTTAATCTGAACCCTTTTTGTGCTTGTTTTTGCTTGAGAGAAGAAATTCTGATAAGTTAAATTTGTTTAATCCTTTCTTTTTATTTTTGTTTGTTACTTTTTCAATTAGGTTGGCAATTACTTCTGGCCAATTTAATCGATTCTATTTTGTTTCTACCATTGATCATGCTTATCTTTCTAATTAAATTGCTAAATAAAACTAAATAATTGGATAAAAGAAAAGGAGATCTGAAATATAACTTACCGAGAAATCTCAAATCTCTCTCCCCTTTCCCATGTAAATCTTGATCATCTCTGTCAACCCATCCCCTATCAATTTGATGTGAGGCATGTCTGTATTCTCAAATATGAGATTTTTTCATTTCTGTTTCATTTGCCAGGATTGTGAGGTGTGTTGAGGAGAGATTATTGGGGAAGTGACTTACGGGAGAGTAAAGAGTGAATAATGGTTTTTATTTATTTATTTATTTATTTACTTTTTTATTAATTTATTATTATTATTTTTTTTTAATACATAATAATAATTTTTATTTGTTTATTTATTTATTTTTGGGCTGTTACACTTGCTTCAACAAAAGCTTGGATCGTTGGGCTAAGGATTAGAGTTGCGTTATCAATTTGGTATCAGAGCCAGGTTGCATCTTTGTGGCCAACTCTAGAATTGATTTTATCTTTAATTTCCCTATTGTTTATCGTCTCTTTAAATCTGTCATTTATTTTCTTACTATCATTTCCAACGTTGTTCATTATCTTTCTACTTTGTTCTTAGTGTTCTATTAAAGATCATATTTATATCTTGAAAGAAAAAAAAACATCCTTATCATATTGTTCTTAATATATCATTATCATTAGACCATTTACACGTTTATTTGAAGATCAAATAAATTTCAATTCTCATTTTTCCCTAAAGCATATAAATCTGGAATTGTTGTATTCGATATTCACGACCATTCTTTGTCCCTTATTTATTTGTTCATTTCTTGTTTTATTTTGTTGTTGCTACATAATTACCTTGTCTTGATTGTCTTGAATAGCTCGCTACTATCAGAATTGCTTTACCCATATATTAGCCTACCTTGATCATAATTTAGTCACTTTCCCAAACAGCCTACCTTTGTGTGTATAAACACGAGTGTCCCTGAGTGTAAAATCAGTGAGTTGAGTGTCTAAGGTTCTAAACATATTTCACTACTGTTTGTACAATCATGAACCAAGACGAGGAAAATGGAGGGGAGATCAATGATCTAGTTGAAGAAGTCCAGAAGAATGAGAAGGAACTGGAAGATGGGATTCATTTGGCACTTATTACAAGAAGACTTCTTAAAACTCAAATTACGGAGAATGATGTTGATGATCAAAGGGACAACCTATTTCACACGCGGTTTTTAGTTAAGGGGACTGCTTGCAGTCTTATCATTGATAGTGGAAGTTGCACCAATGTAGTAAGTACTATGTTGATCAAAAGGTTGCAAATTCCAACTCAAGATCATCCTAAACCTTACAAGCTCCAATGGCTCAATGATAGTGGAACAATGAAGGTAATTTTCCAAGCTTTAATATCTTTTGTTTTGAGAAAATATAAAGATGAAGTTCTTTGTGATGTGTTACCAATGCATGCTGGAGACATATTGCTTGGCCGACCATGGCAATTTGATAGGAGGGTTATGTATGATGGCTATTTGAATAGGTATTCTTTTGTAAAAGATGGTAGAAAAACCACTCTTGTACCTTTGAGTTCTGCAAATGTATTTGCTAATCAATTAAAATTGGAGGAAAGAAAGAAAGAGTTTGAGGAAAAAGAGTTAAAAGAAAAAAAAGAGTTGAGTGAAAAAGTAGAGAAAAATCAAAGAGAAAAAAAGAAGAATGAAAAAAGAGATGAAATTGAAGAAAAATGAAAGAGAGATAGTTATTTGGCTACAATTCGAGAGGTGAGAAGGTTTTCACAAAAATCAATCTTTGTACTTATGTACAACAGAGGATTTTTGGTCTCTAACTATAACAACTTGGCTTTGTCTAGTGTTTTTCAATCTCTTTTTTACAGGAATTTGAAGACATGGTTCAAGATAAAGAAATACCTCCCATTAGAGGTACTAAACATAAAATAGACTAAAATCCAAGGACTGTCATTCCTTATAAGCCAGCTTATCGAGTCAATCCAACCGAGACAAAAGAAATTCAAAGGCAAGTGGAGGAGCTCATGGAGAAGGGCTATGTACCAGAAAGTTTGAGTCCATGTTCTATACGAGTCTTATTGGTGCCAAAGAAAGATGAAACTTGGCGCATATGCATGGATATAGAGTCATCAACAAAATCATGGTAAAGTATCGACATCCTATTCCTAGGTTAGACGATATGCTTGATTTATTGCATGATTTGTTTCTATTTATAAAAATTATTTTGAAATCTGGCTATCATCAAATTAGAATGCACGTAGGAGATGAATGAAAAACAACTTTTCAATATTATGTTTGGATTGTATGAATGACTTGTTATGCCTTTTAGGTTAACTAATGCTCCTAGTACACCTATGCACTTAATATATAATGTTTTGAGAAAATATATGAGAAAACAGGTTGTTGTTTATATTGATGATATTATAATTTATTTGAAGATTTTGCTTGAGCATGTAGAGCATGTTAAATTAGTTTTGATTACACATAGAAAAAAGAAATCTAATTTTAATAAGGGTAGTTTTTGCATGGAAAAAGTCCACTCTATTGGCTTCATAGTTGATAGAAGTAGAATAGCATTAGATAGAGATAAAGTTAAATTCATTATGGATTTGCCAACACCAAAGAGTGCACGTAAAGTTCGGAGTTTTCATTAGTTAGCTAACCTCTATAAGAGATTTAAATGATTTTAGAACCATAACTGAACTATTGAATGACTTAGTGAAAAAGAATGTTGTTTTTAAATGGGGAGGAATACAAGAGAATGCATTCAATTTGCTTAGGAACAAATTAAGCGATGCATCATTACTTGTTTTGCCTAGCTTTTATAAAACTTTTGAAATTGGATGTGATGCATGTGGTTTGATCACAAGTTAATAAGATCAGGAATCAATACAAGGGGAATAAGATTCGGATTACCTTGTTGATCGAATATCTCAAGGCAAGAAGAACGCTTGAATTGAGATTCGAATCACTACACAAGCAAGATCGATCATGTCTAGCTTGAATGATTCTTGTTGATCCAATATCTCAAACACTTGTTTGAGATTCGAATCACTCCACAAGCAAGATTGATCATGTCGAGCTTGAATGATTCTACATGCAACCTAAACTACATAGAATTGCAAAGAAACTTAGTCATTGGCTAAAGAAAAGCACAAATGCTTCTTTTACTATATATTTTCCAAGTCTACCTTACAAATACAACATACATGGCTTTATATAGCCTCAAAATGAAACTATTAAAGGCATTCCAAAAGTTGTAACATTCATGACCATAATTAGCCATTATGTAAATGTAACCTAAAGTAAATAAAATGTCTTAAAATACAATAACTCTAAATTACTCTAAATTGTAACCCACCCAAAGTTTATAATCATCAAACTTCATTCCTCTTCAATGTGACATGAATTGCAACCTCTTTTGATAATTTTGACAACATTTTCTTCACATCTTCATTGAAGTATATTGTATAAATGATGTCTCTTGGTTCATATCATAAGTGTTGTTTTAATTCAAGATGAAAAGTCGTTAGTGTATTTTAGTGAAAAACTAAATGGGGCAACATTGAAATACCCTACCTATGATAAAGAATTATTAGTAATTCATATATTCCATGTGTCGCAACACTGCTTATGGCCTAGAGAATTTGTGATCCACTTTGATTATGAAAACTTGAAGTATGTGAAGGGTCAAAGCAAACTGAATCGTAAACATGCAAAGTGGGTGGAATTTATTGAAACATTTTCGTATGTCATCAAGTATAAGCAAGGTAAGGATAATACAGTAGCTCATGTGTTATCTAAAAGGTATGATCTCTTTACTTCTCTTACTGCAAAAATTCTTGGAGTTGAGCATATTATTGAATTATATAGAGATGACAAAGACTTTAGAACTATTTATGCATCTTGTCTTGCAAAAAAAAGTGGTGGATGATTATTATGTGTTTCTTAAATTTTTAATTACTAAGAGTATGCTTTGTATTCCTAAATGCTCTATAAAAGATTTGTTTTTGAGAGAAGCATATGGTGGTCCCTTCATGGGACGTCTTAGAATTAATAAAATTTATAAGATGTTGCATAAAAACTTTTGTTGGCTAAAGATGAAGCATGTGACAGAGAGATTTATGGATGATGCAAAGCATGCTGCTGACTTATATTTTAAGAATACTAATTTTCTTCTAATATTTTTTGTTAGTGAAGCATGTAGATTTGATCAAAACATTTCAAAAGGAGGTGACGAAAAGAAGGTGATGATTTTTTCTGATTCAAGGACGAATCCTTCCGAAAAGGGGGAAGATGATAAGAATCATGGTCTCTGATTCAATCAAAACATTTCAAAAGGTGGTGACGGAAAGAAGGTGATGATTTTTTCTGATTCGAGGACGAATCCTTCTAAAGAGGGGGAAGATGATAAGAATCACGGTCTTCCAAATGGACCTATTGCAAAGAAGATTCAAAAAAATATGTCAAAAACAAAATTCAAACCTACGCACGAAGAGCTCAATTGATTTCAAACTTGTCGCATTAGCCACTCAAGCACATCAACATTCGTTAGAAAAAACTATGTTTAATTTCATAAATTATGTAAAAGTCAAATGGTCAATTTGACTTATTCTTTGTGGAGATTAAAGGGGATCGGGAATAAATCCCGTCCATAAATGTCTTTTGTCAGGAGTATAAATAGCCACAATATGTTATGTAAAATTCAGATTCGTGGATGAATGTAATTCAAATCTCAAATTGAGACGTTTTCCTTAAAAATCCGAGCATCATATTTGCCATTTCTAAGTTTCAAGCAATTCTTGTGGTAGAATTGCACCCGAGCCATTTAATCAAACCTTGATCAAGTTAGATTGTGGAGTAACTCAATTTAGAACAAGGTTTCCAAATCTTGCTTCTAGATCTTCGATCGTAAGAGGTAATCTAATTCTAGTCTTATCTCTTGGTTGATCCAAATTTCATATAGGGAGGTGTTAATTACTTTGATTCAAGGGTTCTTGCTTCAACAAAAGCTTGGATCGTTGGGCTGAGGATTAGGGTTGCCTTATCACCGTGTATATGTTCTTTGGAGCTCGAACCCATAAATAGAATGAAATGAAAGAATGGTGAGCCTAGGGCGACGAACATGGTTCAAGGGTGTCTATACAAGGCCCTTCTCTTCTTCACAGGCAATGCACTCAAAGATTTGAATGGGACTTGATTGATAAAGAATGCATTTTTGGGTTAGAAGAAGTTAGACGGACTAACTAAAAGAAAATGCCACGCTCCGGGTGTCACGAGATATGGGGCGTTCTAATAGAAGGGTCATACTTCTCAGATCTATTACGGTAAGGCCAATGCACCAGCCAGCCGGTGTGGTGGCGAACACGCTGTGCTGTAAACTAAGTTGTTCCCCTTGTAGACGGAGGAGATAAAAGTGTGTCGTGCTTTCTTCATAAGATTCTATAGTAGCCTAGTATCTTATTTGATTTCACTTAGCTTGCCTTTCCCATCCCATGCCTTCCTTGGTTGGACCAACCCAACCGGCGATTTCTGACAAGTCTTTCTTCATTTTGCGAGCAAGAAGTGGAACTACAGGGATGAAATGAAAAGTGTTCCTTACGATTACGCCCAACAGCCCACTTGAGCAATTTGCCATTCTCCCATTGATTCCTATGAATATAGGAAACTTTTATTTCTCATTCACAAATCCCTCTTTCTTTATGCTACTAACTCTCAGTTTGGTCCTACTTCTGGTTTATTTTGTTACTAAAAACGGAGGAGGAAACTCAGTACCAAATGCTTGGCAATCCTTGGTAGAGCTTATTTATGATTTCGTGCCGAACCTGGTAAACGAACAAATAGGTGGTCTTTCCGGATCCTGAAATGTGAAACAAAAGTTTTTCTAGCACATCTCGGTCACTTTTACTTTTTCGTTATTTCGTAATCCCTAAGATATGATACCTTATAGCTTCACAGTTACAAGTCATTTTCTCATTACTTTTGGTCTCTCATTTTCTCTTTTTATTGGTATTACTATAGTGGGATTTCAAAGAAATGGGCTTCATTTTTTAAGTTTCTCATTACCCGCTGGAGTCCCACTACCATTAGCACCTTTTTTAGTACACCTTGAGCTAATCCCTCATTGTTTTCGCCCATTAAGCTCAGGAATACGGTTATTTGCTAATATGATGGTCGGTCATAGTTCAGTAAAGATTTTAAGTGGGTCCGCTTGGACTCTGCTATGTATGAATAATCTTTTCTATTTCATAGGGGATCCTAGGCCTTTATTTATAGTTCTTGCATTAACCAGTTTGGAATTAGGTGTAGCTATATCACAAGCTCATGTTTCTACGATCTCAATTTGTATTTACTTGAATGATGCTACAAATCTTCATCAAAATGGTTATTTATTTATAATTGAACAAAAGCGAGGAATGAGAGAAGCTGCGAGACCGTAAAGTAAAGGACAGAAGAGAAGATGCAAATAGAACACCTATTTACCGAGTGAAAGAATCCATAGGTGGAGGAGTCAACTCGAATTAAGGAGAAAGAGAAGAGACAGAGCTAAGATTCCCAATTACAGTGAATAAATAGGGAGAGGAAAGAAAAGATTCGAGAAGAGATCGTAAAATAGTGAAACCCGAGTGAAAGAGTGAAATCCGTTGAATTAATCTTGAGTTGAGTCTTTACTTAATAATTATCGAGTGAAAGAATAGCCTGAGTTCAAGAAGGATTGAATATGCTCCACTTGTCAGGTTCAGTAGTGATTGAGTTTACCTCGTAGGAAAGGGTTTAAGGGTTCTTGCAGCTTTCCCTTGGTTACAGGCAGGAGAGGAAAAGAGTTTCATCCGTCTCATTCATAAGGCTTGAGTTGAGTCTTGACTTTCAACACTTGAAGAATAAGGATCAAGATCAAAATCAGTTCAATCAGGAAAAGGTGAAGGAGTGAAACAAGGAAAAGAAGGGTGTCGGTTGAGTAAGTAGTGAGAGGAGAAAGAAGAGAACAGAACGAAAGGAGAAGATCAAGAATAGCTCCACCCAAGTTCCATCTGGCTCATTCATCTTGTCTTGCTTTCGGCTTTCTTTACAGTTCAAGAAGAAATAGGTTCCGGAGAGAGAGTAAAGTCAATGAATTAGCGGCTTTACCCAGTCTTTGAATAAATAGGGAAGGGACAAGCAAGAAGGCGAAGGATCATCAAAATTATTCCCCTTGTAGTTGATTCCTTATCTTATCAGTAGTTCAGTCTCATTCATCCTTCTTACTTACGGGCAAGAGAGTCAAGTCAAAGAGTGAAAGAAAGGAGAAGAAAAGAGACCGAGGTTACAGTTCTTCAAGTGATTGAGTTCAAGAATAGAAGAAGAGAAGAGACCGACCGGCGTTCAGTCTTTCCTTGATCTTTTTTACCTTGTTCAAGAAGGTGAAGGAGAAGGAATCGAGAGTTGCTTCTTTTCTTACTGTTCCAGTTCAGTCTCATGAATAAGGAGTTGAGTCTTTGCTTCCTACGTAATTACCTCGACCAAAAATAGCCCTAAAAATAGGGTAAAGCATCGAATAAATCATTTTTGGTCCTTACAGGAGAATGAATGTTTCATTTGAGTAGTTGAGGAGGATCAGTCTAATGAATCTTGTCTTGTTTTCGTCTTGACTTCCTGTTTAGGAGTTCTGTCTAATTCTTCTTTCGTGTTTACAGTCTCGTAAATGTAAATGAATTAGCTGCAACGACTTTACTTTACCTCCTTCAATCTGGTCAGGTCATAGTTCAATGGCCTAAAAATTAGGGAGAGGCGGCAACTCTCATTAATTGAATATGCTTGACCGAAGAGTCTCAGAGTGAAAGAAAGGAGAAGATCAAGAAGCCGAGCCTTGGTTCAGTCTCTTTCCGAACTAATTGCCTAAAAAATAGGAATTTTATCCCAAAAAATAGGGAGAGGATAGCTTTTTCTAATTAATGGTACTTACAGGAAAAAGAGTGAAATCCGTCCCATTTAGCCTCTTTTTCACTCAAATACCGGGAAAATGGACGAAAATATAGGGAAATCAGGGATTTTGACCTCTTTTATCCGGATTTTATCCCCAAAAAATAGACAGAAGATAGAAAAAATTCATTATTGGTCTTTAAAGGAGAATGAATCTTTCTTCTCCCTTCATTTATTCTTAAACTGTAAACAAACTTTTCTTTCGTTTCGTCTCCCTTCTTTCATTCTCTGATTCTTCTTCTTCTTTCACAGTAAACGAGAATTAATAAGGAGTTTGTAACGTTAAAAAAAAAAAAAAAAAACGACCGAGGGGCAAAATGGACATTTTACCCCTCAGCCCATTATAGGGGTCTTGAGCGTCCTCCTCAGAGTTCCTGCAAAAGAAGAAGAGTGAGAGAGAAGGACTGAGAGAAAGTTTGAGAGAGAAAACTGATTTGCCGGAGTTTTCATCGGAGAGTCGTCGACGGAATCCATTCCCTACCAAGACCTGTACTCTGGAGCCCTTCTTGGAGTGAAGTAAGAACTCGTGTGGAGATTTCCTCCTCTTTCCTCAAGATCAGAAAGGAAACCCGCAAGGTAAGATTTTGAACTATACCTTCCAGATCTTAGATCTTTGTGTAGGAGTAGAATGATTAAGTCTACTACCTTCATCCAGGGAAGATCCGCCACTGATCTTGGTGAGGAAAAACGGACGAAACGACGAGATCTGAGAGACTATCCAAGAACGGTAAGGTTGTTACCGAACCTCTTTTCGACGCTCAAAACTCATCGTATGACTAAGCAAAAATCAAGAAAATAATATTGGCACGTAGGTTGATAAATGATCTATAACTTTGTTGAAGAAACCACCTTTGTTTGGATTAAGAATCGAAAGATAGAAAATGGAAAGAACCTTGGAAAAACTAATCGGAAAACCTTGATTTTCTGGTAGGAGGAGAGAGAAGCCGCCGGCGTGCCACGTGTCAACCAACCAGAGGACCGCGAGCGCCAATCACCCCCGGACACGCGTCGAGCGCCGCCTGGGAAAATGCGGCTCCAGCCTCCTTGCGGCACGCGTCCCTGACAACGCCACCCGATACCCGCGCCCGTCAGCCTACCCGATACCCGCGCGGCGAGCCAAACCGAACCGACAACCCGCGGTCCACCCAAGCCACTGCGTTCGAACCGAACCCGCGACCCACGACTGCAGGAAATTCTAGGCGCGTGACACTCGCACGTGGAACCCGCGAGTGGTTGCTCCCCGGCGCGTGGAAGCGCGTGTAAGCTTATTTTTGGCCCGATCAATTTCTGTTTTTCCAATTTTCCTCCAGATTCCAATCCTAAACCCATTCTGATTGAAATAGGACCAAATTGAAGGAAAATCACCGCCTTTTGATACGTTAAGTGGGTGGAAACGCTGCTTAAGGACACGCGCCATCCAGGTAAGTCACCACACGGATTTTTAGGAAGTATTACTTGTAGGAACCACTTGGAATGCATGCATGCTAGTCTGAATATCTTAGGTTCTAGTTTTCCGTTAATGATCGTAGGAAATAGTTTATTGAACGTTAGATGTATCTTGTGATTTGTTATGAGAGTTACCTGGATACTGCTGATATGATTTTAGTTTTCGCTGAATTTGCATATGTATGTTTTCATGCTGAACGGAGGATGGGAAATTGCGAACTCTGCGCTCCGGAAGTTGATGGATGTTAACACCCCGTTGAGCTTGTATGATCACTTTGCATGAAATGCCTTTGAGGATTTTGGATAATAGTTATAACATACTCAGTTAATTTTTCATGACTCGCAATTATGAATAAGTCTAGGGATTCTTAGTTAGAGTAACTAGGTACTAAGGTATTAGATCTAATCTTTTCCCTAGTAGAGCAACAGACCACCACGGCGTAAGAAGCCCACTAGGGTACCCTTAGGCTACAGGTGAGTGATTGGTGTCATAGCTTCGTGGGGGAAAAGGGGGTTCCTGATCAGAATCCGACTATTCTTAGCCGTTTTAGCATAGGAAACGTGTGCCCACGTCGTATAGACCATTTAGCTGGATGGGTTAAGGGGGGTAGCTCTCCCCAACCAGGGGGACTGTCATGGGCCTAGGGGGTTGCAGCTCACTTCCTAGGTAAGTTACCAGATAGTCTCAGAGCCATGCCGAGGTAGCTACTCGTAGGGCACCAGTCATTACACAGGTTAGCTTAAGGGAGTTTTTAAGAATCTTTAAATGAAAGGACAAAGAACCAAGTTGTCGCGAAGGGAAAGTCCTAAGGTCCTAAGACGAAAACTAGAGGTCCTAGAGCTATTGTAGGGTCCGTGGAGGGTGGTTGCTAAGATTAGGATGCGGTAAGAGCCTATAAGTAGGTGGCTTACTGAGTATAAATTTTATACTCATTCCTGTTATACCCTTTTTTTTTCAGGTACGTGAGGCGTCGAGTCTAGAGAGGGCGCGTTGATCGATGTGGGTTGTCGCAGAGGAAGCGTGTCCCGGGGCGTCAGTCTAGTTTACTAAATAGTACACTTTGTCTCTCCTGTTCCTTTCCTTGTTTTTACCTAGGCACATATGTCCTTTTAGTAAAGAAACGTTTTTCTTACAAATAAATGAAATTCTATTGTTGTAAATGTTTTTATGTGGTTTTCTCGTTTTTGCACTACATGACATAATTCATGATGGTCACGGCTTGGAGTTATGTATTTTGGGTCGTGACAAGTTTTGGCTTGACTCTCCACTTTCCCTTCTTTCATTCTCTTCTTCTTCTTCTTCTTCAAACACGGTAAAGTCTCATTCTGCTTTCGTTTCATCTTGTCTTTCTTTTGTCTCCCTCTTTCTTTTACCGACAAGGATAGTCAAAGGTTGAAGGCTTCAGCTTTCTCTTTTACCGACGGTAAAGATGAAGGAGAATGAATCTTGAGTCTTTCCTTTCTTAAGTCAAGAGTGAAAGAAGCAAACAAACTCACTGACAGAGCTTTACCTTGTTCAAGAGTGAAATCAAGGATCAAGAGCAGTAAGTAGCAGTTCAAGCAAGAAGGTTCCGGTTTGAGGTTGAATCTTTCGTTTCAGCTTTCCTTTCGTTTCTTCTTTCGTTTCAAGACTTTCAGGTTCAGTAGTTCACTCTAATTCATTTCCTCTTTCTTTTCGGTTCAGTCTCTCTCTTAAGGCAGCACCGATCAGTGTCCTTTTGCCTCTGAGTCGTAAGCACTCGCTGCCCAAGAAGACGTAGAAAGTCGGTCTTCACTCCTGCCCTAAGAAGCAGGCCCACTCCGTCCAAAGCTTCAACTAGCTCTCCGAGGCTGGCTAAGCAGGTTCAACCCCCAACTCCAAAGGCCCGTTCAACTCCTGCTTGATCAGATGCAAAAGTTGTATATTCTGGTTCCCCAGGATTTCAACAACCTTGATGCCCAAAGTTTGTGATTGACCATCCGCTTCTTCCTAAACATCGGCTCTTCAAGCTGGAGCAGGCATTATCTCAGTCGACTAATGTGAGAATTAGTGAGTTAGGAGTTGTGCCTTAATCTTCCGAAGTTCAGGTCTCTCCACTTATGTTATGGCATAACCGATCCTCAACGTTAGCAAGCCTTGCTATTCAGATGAAAAGAATGTCTATCATCCTAATGAAAGCCTGATTCCTTCCCCCAAGGTTTGTTTACCTATCATGTCACTCAAAGATGAATCCTAAAGAAGAAGGAAAAACGTCAGCCCTGCGCTTATGGCGGAAGAGGAAGGCAAATAGTCAAGTCAAAGCTGGAAAGTGAGGCTTAACTTATTTAGGTAGGAGTGGGGCGTAGCAATTAGCCGGTCTAACCTAGCCATTTAGATAACCATTCCTAATCCATTCTTCTAGTTCTACTATTCTTCGCAAATTCCAATCAAATGGTAACAGTTAAGCTATCGCACCTCTTGCTTGCTTGACTGATTAAGGTTCAACTTTTAGTTGATACGATACCTCTCTAAGACAAGACCGAATTTTTCACATGCAGTTGGTGTAGTGAGAGACCCTTCCCCCAAGACTGGAATCAGGAAGAGCGGATCTTGTAACTTTTGAACTTTTCTTTTGATACCAACAGGAATTACAGCACTTTAACTGCATTTGTGGTGACAGCAATCTCGCACGGACCACCACGCTCATGTGTCCCCAGGGTTTTTCCCTCTACAGCATCACAACTTCGTACATGCATAGGTGATAGTGAGATCCTGGGCCAAAGACCATACTTTCTTTTCAGCCCAACTCTGTCTCAGGTCCTCTTGGCAAGATAAGCCATTAGTCAGCTATCCAATAGTTGGATCACAGTCAACTTCCCAGCGTATCCCTCAAGCCCTCATGCTCTCAGCCTATGGGTCGTTATAAAGCATGCCAGAAGACTTTCCTGCCGCTCCCTTTGCAAAGACACTGCAACTGAGCACTCAACCCTCTCTGAATCATTCATGTTATCAGTCGTCAGGCTGTGTAAGTTGTAAATCCCGACTTTCTAAAGTAAGCAAGCACTAAAAAAAAAGTCAACCATGCCCTCGCCTAGCCCTCACTTCAATGGACCAATCAATGCGCTACGCTGGCAAAAGGGAATGGCGAACAACCAAACCCTTGCTAAGACCATTTCCACTTTGTTCTCAACAGTTCTAACCCCCTGGGGCAGACAAGCTCCCTTTAGCTCCACTTATTCTCATTCTCGAAAAAGACTAGCAATTTGTTAGCAGCGCCACCACTCGGTCACGTATGGGGCACGCCCCTGTACATCTTGCTTTCTTTAGGTCTCTGTCTCCTCAAATTCAGCCTAGCTCAATGCTAGATAGCTCTTCCTACACTTACACTACTGACCATCAATTTGTCAAGGTCGAGTTTGTTCAACCTTAGACGAATGTGGTACGTGACTTCTGTCTATTCCCATGACACCCTACCTTCTTTGCCTGCCAATTCAGGTTTAGGCAAGGTCTGCCTAGTCCTCCCCTATTCAGCCGTAACAAAGACCCCTATTCAGTCAGAGAGCAATTCCCTCCGCCATACTTCTTTTTCTGTTCTGTCTAGCATTGGTCTTCTTATGGACCAACATCATACTTCATACCGCTCCTTCCTTCTTCCACTTCTGCCTTTAGGTCTTGGTGGAGGTTTGGGAAAGTTTGATCCATGGATGACTATCTGAGTGGAATTGCTCCTCTTAGCCCGCCCGCCTGCAAGCAGTTCTTCTCGAGCTGCCATTTCCTCGAACTCATTCTGCCCTTTCCTGAGAGCCATCTTCAGGCAACCCCCTCTACCTTCTTGACCTACCCCTCATCCTTTTCTCTCAAATATTGACTGCAATCTCTCTTTCCTCAGGCACTCGTCGGCAACTCCGATTGGAAGATGATTCCGAAGAAACATAAGATGCAGGAGAAGGAGGAGACGTCATCGAGGTTGAAAGTTCCTCTATTCAGCCAAGGTTGTAAACGTCAGAGAATCATGGTTCCCGCTTTTTCTGTATCAGCCACACTTTCTGTCCCTTCGTCTGGTCCAGCTTCTTGAACTCGCTGCCAACTTGCTCGCAGCACCTCTGCCTCTGTTTTGCCATCTACCACAACCGCCGGTGGAGACGAAGAAATGTCTGATGACAGACAAGAAGAGGGTGTCAAATCTATATTACCAGAGCATGAACTAGTATTGGAAGAAGCCGCGGTGGTATACCTTTTTCTTTCAGAACCTCGCCTTTAGTTTTTCTCTGATTCGTCGTTGTTCCTGTTATTTATTGTCGCTATGTGTGCTTGCTTGTGGGAGTCTCTTTCTTTTTTGATGTGCTGTCACGCTCCCTTCCCGTCTATGGCCGAAAGGGAAAATCCTTGACTCTATTCCCGATCAGTCGGGCAAGCGGCTTGGCTTTCAAAGTCAACTCCAACAATTTCTTTGTTCTCAACACTTGATGTTAATTAATCAAAGATCTTTTGCAAGAGGGTTGGCTAGAGGTAGTTAGCCATTACGCTACGGGATTAATCCTATCACTAGCCCACTGTCTTCAGGTAAATTCGATCGATCAGATGTAGAAACCAAGGTAAGGTCGGATGGTTGTCCCAGATTCTCAACAGAATCTGATAGACAAAGAATTGAAGTCCCATTGTCTTATTAATTTCATTGGATGCCTTTACTCCCCTACCCCAATCCCTAGCTAGCTACAATCCAAACCTCACCTATTTGGGGATCTTCTCCTCCTACTCTTTCAGTCCAAGGAAGACATCTAATATTAAAGAGAAAGAGGCCTGAGAAGCATTCTACTGGCCAAGATCAAAGAAGCTAATTCTGATTGAAGAAAATAGTGTAAGCCAACTCATCAAGGGAAAGGGGCACTAATGGAAGAGTCAAATGCCTCGATTTTATATATATATCCGAAACGAAAAGACATTGTATTGGAGACGGACGATTGACAGGACCGAAGCAAAAAGCCCACATACATGTACCAAGGGTTGTCAATGCATAGTGCCTACTCAAGGTATATACACTGCTCTAAGATTAGGTAGGAGTCGATTTTCGAAACATAAGAGCTTGGAGACTGACCTAGCTGCAACATATATTGTTCAGGTCTTACCTAAGAGAGAATATTGTAACGGTTTAGCCTGAGGCTCTTTGAAGTTGCTGTGGTTGAAGTGGAGTCTGCTCCGAAAGGGTCTACTTTTCTTTCTAACCAGGATAGCAGGGTTGAAGCCCTTTGTTAGAACTGCAAAATCCATGTATTTATGTTGTGAGGTCCTTCATATTTCCATAACTTATTTTTTGCAGCAAAGTTTCACAAATAGATCCGAGGATGAATCCTCTTGAAGAAGTGGAGAATGATATGAACCAAGAGGCATCAATCATACAATATACTTCAATGAAGATGTGAAGAAAAGGTTGTCAAAATTATCAAAAGATGTTTCAATTCATGCTACATTGAAGAAGAATAAAGTTTGATTACTGTAAATTTTGGGTGGGTTACCATTTAGAGTAATTTAGAGTTATTGTATTTTAAGACATTTTATTTACTTTAGGTTACATTTACATAATGGCTAATTATGGTCATTGAGTATGAATGTTACGAAATGCTAGTTTCATTTTGAGGCTATATAAAACATGTATGTTATATTTGTAAGCAGACTTGAAAAATTTAGTAAAAGGAGCATTTGTACTAAAATTTAGTAAAAAGAGCATTTGTGCTTTTCTTTAGCCAATGGCTAAGTTTCTTTGCAACTCTATGTAGTTTAGGTTGCATGTAGAATCATTCAAGCTAGACATGATCACTCTTGCTTGTGAAGTGATTCGAATCTCAATCAAGTGTTCTTGCGTTGAGATATTTGATCAACAAGAATCATTCAAGCTAGACATGATCGATCTTGCTTGTGGAGTGCTTCGAATCTCAAACAATGTTCTTGCCTTGAGATATTCGATCAACAAGGTAATCCGAATCTTATTCCCCTTGTATTGATTCCTTATCTTATCACTGTTAAGTTATGGAGTCTGCTCCCTGTATTTATAGCTTGGTCAACGGCTATATCCGGTAAAGCTATATTTGGTAAAGCCATATATGGTAAAGCTATATCCGGTAAAGCTATATATGGTAAATAGCTATATATAGTAGATGGTTAAATCTGGTAAAGCTATATTTAGTAGACTGAACCATATGTATATCCCATCCAGTAAAGCTTTGGAAATGTACTTTCTATTCTCTGTACTCTCTCTTGTTGTACATACTTGAAGTCATCAATAAAAAAAAATAAAAAAAAAATTATTTTAGCTAAAGTTCTCCTTGCAATTTTCACTATCCCATTCTTTGTGTTCATCTAGATCGAGCGTGTGCGTTGTTGTGCGATCCTAACAACTGGTATCAGAGCTAACGACTGGTATCGATCCTAACAACTGGTATCAGAGCAAGGCAAAATTCACCACGATCTGTGAAGATGGAAAGTTCAAAGATTGGAATTGAGAAGTTCGATGGATCCGATTTCGGTTTCTGGAAGATGCAGATTGAAGATTATCTGTACCAGAAAGATCTTCACGAACCTTTGTTGGGGGTGAAGCCAGATACCATGACCACGGAACAGTGGAAGCTCAAGGATTGACAAGCCTTAGGGATGATCCGATTGACGCTATCTAGAAACGTGGCGTTTAACATCATCAAGGAGAGGACAACGTCAGATCTAATGAAGGCGCTGTCAAATATATATGAAAAACCGTCGACTATCAACAAGGTGTATTTGATAGGTAGATTGTTCAATCTACAGATGTCTGAAGGTGGACGTGTTCTGATCATATAAATGAATTCAATATTATCATAAGTCAACTGGGTTCGGTGGAAATTAATTTCGAAGATTTTGATGTCATCCTTACCCGAGTCATGGGATACTGTTGTTGCTGCAATCAGCAGTTCCCGAGGATCTGATAAATTGAAGTTTGATGAAATTCGAGATGTAGTTCTCAGCGAAAGTATTCGCAAACGGGAAACTGGAGATTCATCAGGCAATGCTCTCAGTGTTGATCGAAGGGGAAGAAGCAAGTCAAAGAGCTCAAACAAACATGGGCGTTCAAAATCAAAGAACTGGGGAAAATCTCCAAACAAACTCAACGTAACGTGTTGGAGCTGTGGGGGAAAAGGATACTTTCGGACA